TAAAATACTATTATTTCGAGAAATTTCATTTTGAAATTTTGTAAGTCTCTATTATCATTATTTTGTTTTTGACATACTCTTTATATTTTATTTAAAAGCTTCGATATTTTGCTGTTAAATAAAATGATTACGATTATAAAAGTGAGTTGTTGCATAGTTGTAAAAAATTTGGGTGTTTTTGAAGAAAATAACTCAAATTGAGGGCAGTTTTAGACACAGTTTGTGGCTACATTTTAAATGATTTATCTTTAAGGATATTTTTGTTTTTGGTGGTATTTAAAGTAAAACCGTAATGATATTTTGCATCCATTGAACCAAAAATGTAATTGCTTTGTTTTTTGACTTGTGGCGGTTTTTGATTGAGCCTCGGATTGAGCCATCGATGTATCTACTTTGGAAATCAAGCATAAAATTTGTAAAATTCAAACAAATTTCAATACACTAACATTGGTTGTTTTATTTAAAACAACAAAGTAAGGCATATTTTTTAATTTCTATATAATTTCCTTTAATTAATAATAGGTAAACAAGTTATCAATTTCTTTTTTATTCAATGTATTGAGAAGTAAAATCTTTTTATGTAAAAATATAATTTATGCTCTTCTAATAAATTGTCATATTTAGGTTACATTATAGCACTTTATAAATATCTAAGCAAAAAAGTTAAAAGGCTTGATTTAAAAAAGATATATCTCTGCGTCTTAGGTAAGAAATCAGCGAACTTAGCTATCCTCTAGTAATCTAATATAATAATATGTACCTAGTCATTGTTGTATTCGTTTATTATTTTTCACCAATCTAGCTTTATCATCGTTCACCATTTAAGGTTTTAGTGAACTTTTGCAATATTGGTACCTTATTATACTATTTAGCTAATTTTGTCCAATCGTTCAGTGCTTTCTAGGTAGCTTCTTCTATCCCACATGTGTACTTGTGTTTGTGATATAAGGTGTGTTCTTTTATTCAATAATTGTTCCATCAGTGATTGATATAATTTATCTATTCTGCAATCGTTTTATATTTGAACTCTTATATTTTAGGTTAACTTAAATGATTGATTATCCTCACCATTCGTCTATCACATATCCATCGGCTTTTAAAGCCGATGGATGCCTTGGCTCATTGGTGAACTCACCGCTGGAAAAAAGAATGATTAACACATACAATCGTCTTTCCATCACTTAATTTACGAACGGTTTGCTGCAAGCGCTGGATACAGCACTGAATAAAAGAACACGCCTACACCTACCTCTACTTTTGTGCTATTGGTACTTGATTTCAAGAACATTTTAATAATAAATTTATATAAATATTTTGTTTTATTTGAAATTTTCATGTCTCGATTGAGATTTTACTATAGCCTCAATTTCAGCCTCTCTGTATTACATTACACAATGGCCGTGTTCATCGTCGTCAAACATGTTGTAACGCTGAGTAAGCGGTGACGATGAACTGTCAACCGCTGCAGCGCTTTTGAAGAAGCATAAAAGCGAAAATAAACTCGCTTGTTTGCTTTAAAAGCATAAAATTGACCTTGAACCCCTGTCAAATCCGTCTTTTGGCATTTTGTTAGGTTATGTGTTTGTTTATTTATTTATATTTTTAAGGTTTTATACCCTAATAGAGTTGATTAGTTAAGTTGTATTTTAATATAATATTGTATTTATGGAGATACCTATTTGAAGAAAATAAAATTAATTCCAGACGTAGATACATACACGTATGCTTAAATTATTTCATTTGGACGTTAATGGGATTCCACCAGTAAGGAATATGGATAATATAACATACCTACATATTATATAGTTTTAGCACAGTTATTCAAAACAGACGAGTTTTGTTATTAAAACTGCACCGATGTTTTTGTTTTCATGTAATGTATATAGGGCCAAAAGGGCATTAAAAAATAAATAATAATAATAAAAGTATGACATTTTATTTACAAAATAAATTAAATATAAGCAATTATATTAAAAAGGGCCCACCTTGGTTTGTTGAACCTTTAAAAAAATACCTCATTACTGTATACATTTCAAATAATTTTTGCTAATAAGTCGCTCTTCCTATATGACAACATTAAGTTTGTATATTTATTAATTTCCAATACAAAATATATCATTCCTATAAAAGAATTAATGTATATAGTTTGTCGATAAGGTATGTATAACTCTATAATACTAGACAAATTTTATTAATACATAAAAATAATTCAGACTCAATATGAATATTAGCAATGACCAAAAATGTATAACACCTAAGTACCTAAATCAAAAATACTTTGTAAAAAAATAAGTAAAGCATTAGATAGGGATTATTTTAACAATTTTCGGTTTTTGTAATAAAACGTTATCATTTCTTACCTCACAGCAAGAAGCCTGTAAATTTTAAAAGACAACAGCAATTTTTCATTATTTTTAATGTAGAATAACAACAGTAAGATTGTAGTAAAAGTAAAACAATAATATAATAAAAAAATGTATTAAAAATAAGTGAAATAACATAATTTTGTTTATTTATTAGAAATTAGAAAAGCGAAATAAAACTTGTTTAGTGGGCTGATTTTCTATATTTTAGTTTTTAAATGGGAATGGAACTGTTGACGTGACTTGTTTATGTTATGCTTGGCTTTCAATACTGATACTTCAAATTAAGTAAGTTTTTTTCACTAGCACATATTTATATGAGATACCACTCTTTTTTGAAAAATGTTTTGAATCAGATCACGTTTTCTTTTAAAGCGGGACATTCTTGCATTCTTTGGGGACAATGGAACACATAACTTGAAAGTGGATCCAAGGGTCCCAGGTTCGAATCCCACCGTTGGCCGGAATTTTTTCATTTAATTTAATTATTTAAAATTAATTCTGATGCCTTGGTAGGATTCCCCACTCGACCATTCACTGTTGGGTTCTAATTAACAGTGCTGTTCCTAAAGTGGCGCTGGGAAACAGTAACAAAGCCTACACAGAACACACATGATTGAGAATTTAAACACAAATTTGAGACTGGCATATTAGGTATATACACCTAGGCCATAAACCGAAAAAAAAAAAAAAAAAACTTGAAAGTGGGTTTGTCTTGCCTAAAGCGGGACTTATGATGTTAGGTATGACTCAAAAATAAAAGTTTACTTCAGGTTGATTTTCATTTTTATCTCTTCCTCCTTTTTCGAATCAGTTAGTTTTGAACTGGTTTGAGACACATGCCTCAAGTTCTGGGCTGGAGTCCAGTTTAAATGATTACTAACTTTGAAGGAATTCTGTTTCCCTAAAAATAAGAAAGTCATACTTGATGTTTCTATTATTAAACACTTTTATGTATCCTTGATATATGTAAAAAGATCACTTTTTGATATGTATGTTATTAGTATCATGAGTTCCTTTAATTTATTGGTGCAGACCAGACAGTTGATTAAACACAATAAATAGCATTCTCATTCTGCTCTTCAAAGTATGATCTAGTTACAGTATGTTTTTATTTGTGTGTCAAAAAAATGTATTTTACCTTTAATAAAATGACTATTACAATTTCTTTGATTAGTCTAAGTATGTAGAATTCAAGATCCATAGAGGCAATAAAAACATCATGACTTTACAACCCAAAATAATACAAGTTGTAGGTTTTTCGCCGTAAAATTGTCAAAACCACTTTCAGAAGGGTACTTATATAAACTCTAATTCACTGTACAAATCAATTCAACTCAATTTTTTTAAAAAAATACTAAAGTAAACAATTCACATAACCTTCTTTGTGCCAACCAAATGTCATTCCATTTTTTGACAGATTTGAGGTTGAGAAAACAAATCGTAAACAAAAATGATCGTTCAGCGTCATTCCAACCGCTTATGAAACATGTTTCTTTGCTTTTAAAACATGTTTGACGACGATGAACACGGCCATTGTGTGTCCACGGATGGACTTAATTATACTTGTAAAAATATTTATTTTAAATTAAAGAAAAAGTTATTTTTCATAATTTCTCAATGTGAATCGAATTTATTTAACAAGCAAGAAATTATGAAGAATTACTTTTTTAATTTAAAATAAATATTTTCACAAGTATAGTTAAGCCCATCCGTGGACACACTGCATAATGCTGTAGATCTAATTCACATTATAACATCAATAGAACGTTTCAGAGCAACTTTCGGGGTAAGTACCGTAAAAGTGCTAGTGTGATGTTTTTCGAACTTCACTTTGTAACTTCTGTGAGATGTGCTATAAAAGTCTTGCCGTTGCGGACATTCGGTAGTTGCAGGGAGATAAGGGTTACATTTACAGTACATTGCATGCGAGCTTAAAGAGCCTAAAATTTCAGCTTATTAACGTAGATGGGATGTTTTTGTGCTAGCTGGGTAGTAAATAGTGTAGAAGTCATAATTGCGCAATGTCATCAAATTAATTTCGAATCGATTATGTTGAAACAAATCTTAGGTAAGTAAGTCATTTAAAAGTTGTAATTCTGCATACGGACTTTAATTATATTTGAATACGACCCTGCTTAGTCAACCATTTAAGCCACGCCCAGTGGGGTCATTTTTAATAAAACGTATCATATGCAAAACAATTGCCTCATGGCATCTCCATTAGTATTATACCTCCATGGTTCGGACAGACAAGTTCCATTCACTTTTTAGTCCACATACTTCGATGATTTGGTCCGATTAATGACAGTTTAACACGTTTAAATGTCATTTAAAAGCACCATAAAAAATTGGTTCCAGCCCCTAACCAATCCATGTTTTATCACAATTTTTTATAGTTTTACATTTTTGTTAAATTTCGGGGATTTAGAAAATTATTTTGATACATATAATATGGCGGCCTGGCATCTTGGTGAAAAACACATTGTGTATACAGGGGCAAAGCCAGTCCTTTGCCGCTGAGAGAAAGAAAAATGAAGAGAAAGAAATGAAGAGAATATAAATGAAGAGAAGAGAAAAGAAGAGAAATGAAGAAAACAATGTAAAAAACTAAGCAAAAAATTATATCAAACTTACCATTCCTATTATTTGTCCTATTTCTGGTATTGAATCTTAAAGTATTTCTTACAAATTCTTTCTTACCATTACCATAATACATCTTCGACAATTTTTCATTTAAACTATGTTTAATAAATTCAATTTCTCTCAGTTTTCCGTAGAAATTCAATTTAACATTTCTTAAATCGATCATGTGTTTCTTGACATAGTCGCTGTATCTAGCGCTTTTTTTTATTACAGTTTTACATTTCGGACAACCTAATGGTTGTATCTTCTGATCTTCATCGTTATTTCCTCGCTTCTGATTTAACCAATTCGTCATACCGGTAGATTCCATAACATGGCCGCAATCTAGTAATATAATAGGAATATTATATAACCAAAATAATTGACCGCATAATTTTAAACAGACTACATACACATGAAATAGATAACCCGATTGTACCGTCAGAACAATACGGGTTCAGGGCTGGTCACAGCACTGTAGCACAAGTAATAAGGATTGTAAATCACGCCAAGAAAGTCTTCAACAAAAATCAACAAACAGTACTTGTGGCATTAGACGCTGCAAAAGCCTTTGACACGGTTTGGACTGACGGTTTAATCTATAAAATGTTTGTGAAGGATTACCCTGTGTACCTTGTAAAAACTATTTTAAGCTACTTACAAAACAGAACATTTCATATTAAAATAAACGAAACTATTACAGGACCATACACTGCCAGAGCGGGAGTACCTCAGGGTTCGGTACTCTCGCCCCACCTGTATACCATCATGACCCATGACATACCCATGGGACATAGTGGTATACAGACGGCGTTGTATGTAGATGACACCTGTATCTACAAATCATCAACATCGGCTGAAATAGCCATGAGAAGACTGGAGATTCATACAAACAGAACGCTAGTCCCTTATCTAGACAAAAATAAAATTAAAATTAACCCTCATAAAACCGATACGGTCTTACCAAAATGAGAAGTAATAACATTATAACAGAGCTGAAGGTACAACAAAACAAAATCCCAACTGCGAACAATATAAAATATTTGGGAATTACACTAGACAAGGGACTAACGTTCAAAACCCACGTTAAAGGACGAGCTAACAAAGCTACGGCTATGCTATGCATACTTTACCCTATGTTACATAGGCGTAGTGGAGTTACACTACACATACTACCCATGCAGCGGCATGACACCGAGTACACTTGACATAGCAGTGGCCAACAACCTACCCAACGTACAGAACATTACAACAATTGAATCGGTGAGTGAAAGAACAATACAAGTGCCAAAAACGGTAATTTTAACTGAGATAGGCAAATAGTTTAAAATTCATAGGCCTATCACATAGCGAAAGAATAATACACCGACCAACATCATACGAGCGATGGGGCCTTGTTCAATTTTCGGCTGATTGTGAGTGAAAGAACAGTACAAGTACGTCGAATGTACTGTTTGTTCACTCCGTAGCCATGTCGTTTCGTAGACAAATTTGACGCAGATTTCAAAAACTGGTGGTCGCAATTTCATAAAAAAAAAACTTCTAAATCAGTAGATGAACATAAAGCTAATTTTGTCATTTCACAGTACAACCAGTTTACATACACTGGTAAAACTCCTGGATATGTTACTACAAGTGCCTTCATAGGCGGTTTTGTCTCGCACACTTTTATGTGTGGAGCGCATTAGGCTGATCAAACCTAATTTCAATCTGCAGGTACCCTTATGGCGGGCATACAAGTTACGGTCTGTCTGTGCAGGCACACCTGCACAGGTAGACATACACGCTACGACATGGAGCCGATCTGCGTAGGTACACGTGCTCTCTGGTAGACCGTTACGTGTATGCTAGCCATTAGAAAAGGCATACTCAGAAGTTTTCCCTATTAACGTAAAGAAGATAGTCAATATAAAGAAACTTTTATTCTACTTTAGTGATGAAATCCTAGAGTTTTACTAACATATATTATTTCTGGGAAAGTCAAAAATGAAGATTCTGATAAAGAAATTACAAACAAGTTTGTTAAATAATAATAAATAAAGCTACAAAAAAAATTTAAAGCATTTTTTTAAATTGAGTAAAAGAACAGTATAACTGCAAGTCATTTTTTCCAAATATAATTTTTTGCATACTTTTATTTTTAAATTTATGTACGTATTATTATCGGTTAACAAAAATTCTATAACTTCACAATACATAATTTGGCCGAATAACCCATAGTTCTCCTTTAAAACAGTTTTTTTTTGTTTTTCTAAAAATGCTCACTTTGGATATGTATTGTTCTTTTACTCACCGATTCAATTAAAACACTGACTTCGGACCACGACCCTGTGTATCTTGAATTTAAAACTAACCACAAAATAAGTAGATCACAGGGTAAGTATCTTGACTACAAAAACACGGATTGGAAACTTGACAGACAAACCCTTGACAAAAACATTGAAATAAACAATAACATCACGGACGCACATACTCTAGACGAGGAAATACAAAAACTAACGACAGCAATCATCAGGGCTATAGACGCGTCAACAAAAACACACGGACAATACCAAGACAATTTTCCACAAAAGATCCTAGACCTGATTACTAACTAAAACAACATACGAAGACGTTGGCAGCAACATAGACAGGACTATGACAGGGTTCGACTCCACGACATCGGGAAACATAAATAAACTCATCCTAGAACATAGAAATCAAAAGTGGAGAAAAACCCCGGGATCAATTAACCCACAGGACAATTCAATGTGGAAAATTGCGAAAGGCTTTACTAAGTCCTTCTTGCAACTTCCCACATTGAATTACGACGACAAAGTGTGCTCGACGGTCAGACAAAAGGGACGAAGCGTTCGGCGAACTCTTCCAAAAAATATTTGAAAATAACATTGCAAATAATAATCGAAAACATAGTTAATGACATTAAAAACATGAACAGGGATGCAGTACCTGTAAATAACCTAACTTCACCCCAAGAAATCAGGAATGTGGTAAAGAGATTACACAATAGGAGGGCTCCGAGACTAAATTGCATAAGCTATAAACTAATTAAAAATTTTTCCCTAAAAGCATACGTGCAGATGCATTATATCACAAACGCGGTGCTCAAATTACAGTACTACCCCTAAAAATTAAAAATTGCTAATGTTATACCAATTTTAAAGCAAGGTAAAAACGCTAGGGCTGTTAAAAGCTATCGCCAAGATAATTGACCCAATTATATTAAAAAGACTACACACATACGAAATAGAAAACACGATTATACCGTCAGAGCAATACGGGTTTAGGGCTGGCCACAGCACAGTAGCACAAGTGGTAAGAATAGCTAATAACGCCAAAAAAGCGTTTAATAACAAACAACAAACTATGCTGGTGGCTCTGGATGCTGCAAAAGCCTCAGACACGGTTTGAACTGACGGTCTAATCTATAAAATATTTGTGCAAGATTACCCCGTATACATTGTGAAAACAATTCTAAGCTACCCACAAAACAACATTTCACATCAAAACAAAAGACACCATAACAAGACCATCTATTGCTAGAGCGGGAGTACCTCAGGGTTTGGTACTCTCGCCCCACCTGTATACTATCATGACTCATGATATTCCCATGGGGCTTAATGGTGTACAGACGGCATTGTACGCCGATCACACCTGTATTTTCAAATCATCTGCTTCAGCTGAAATCGCCATGAGAAGACTGGAGATCCACACGAACAGAACGCTAGTCCCTTATCTGGACAAAAATCCGCAGAAAACCAAAGCAGTTTTACTAACAAAAATGAGACCAATTACTGATTTAAAAGTATAGCAAAACAAAATTCCTACGGCTAATCATTTAAAATACCTAGACATCGTACTTAATAAGGGACTAAAGTTCAAAAACCACATTGATGAACGAGTTAACAAAGCTACAGCTATGATTCGCATACTTTACCCTATGCTGCATAGACGTAGTGGAGTTACTCGTGGAAATACAATTCTGTTGTATAAGCAATTATCAGACCTATACTAAGGTATGTCTACTGCTCAATAGCGGATAATCACATCCAAAAACTCCAAAGAATACAAAACAGGTGTCTTCGGTTGGCTTTGAGGTACGACCGCTACGCCAGAATAACAGACATGCACCATGAAACATCCATGCCCATTGTCAAAGATTACATTGCTGCAGTCGCTGAGAAATTCTACACACATAATCTCCCGAATAACGTCAAGGAAGACATACTATCTCAGCACAGCGGAAATGCCGGAGACAGGAGGCATGGATGCTTACATGAGAAGTTGGACCTCCACAGACGAGACAATTAACAATGACAGACGCAGCAACACCCTTCTCACTGCGACAAACCCACTAAATAACTGTTTTACTAGGACAAGTACTTAACCATGCTAGTCATACAGAAGATTGCACGGCGACGTCACTCGCCAACTTTGAGGAGATTTGAGAAGCGGTAAACCCCCATGACAACTCAATGTGGAGAACTGCGAGGAGATTCACAAAACCTCACTCGCAGCTTCCCACATTGAAATACAAGGACAAAGTGTGCTCCACCGACGAACAAAAAGGCGAGGCCTTCGGTGAACTATTTCAGGATATTTTCCAAAATAATATCCCCAACAACCCCGACCAACAAACAATCGAAAACTTGGTGGTAGACATTCAAAATATGGAGCGGGATACTGTACCCCATAGCTGCCTAACCACACCCCAAGAAATCAGGGATGTGGTCAGGAAACTACAAAATAAAAAAGCCCCAGGGCCAGACGGCATTAATAATCACTTAATCAAGAACTTCTCTAATAAAGCCTACGTATACACGCATCACATCATAAACGCTATCCTAAAGTTCCAGTATTATCCTCAAGAATTCAAAAATGCTAATATCATTCCAATCCTAAAACGAGATAAACCATATAAAGACGCGCAAAGCTATCGTCCCATCTCTCTGCTGAACAGCTTAGCCAAACTTACAGACCGCATAATACTTAAACGCATACACACTTACGAAATTGACCATCCTATTATACCGTCAGAACAATTCGGGTTTAGGGCATGCCACGGCACAGTAGCTCAAGTCATCAGAATTGCGCATCATGTCAAAAAAGCGTACAACAACAAACAGTTCTGGTGGCTTTAGATGCAGCCAAGGCCTTTGACTCGGTTTGGACTGACGGTTTAATCCACAAAATGTTTATGAATGACTACCCCGTATTCATTGTAAAAACAATTCAGAGCTACTTACACAACAGAAACTTTCACATCAAAATCAATGACTCACGTACAGGACCATT